TGAAGGCTGTTCCAGCACAGAGGAGTTCAAGTGACATTGCCGTTTAGAGGGCACCTGACCAGCAAAATTCTACAATGTGAGGAATATCTTTTGTTTAGTCGTCATTACGTTCCGTTTTTGGCGGCCGTTCTTCTGTATATCTTGTGGTGAACTTATCGGAGTGGCCACTTTCCCACAATGTTTCGCATAAGGGCGAGATCGTTCTCCAGCGTGTATCTGGAGTGCAGATCCTCCTAACTTGGTTGGTTAAACAGCAGTCTAAGCTTCGTTTCTGAGTTAGTAGAACAAGACTGTAGAAGTGCGTGTACTGCCCTGACAACCTTGTCTTGCGATATACGCTTCTACGAGTTGTTCCATCAGACATTTTACTAAGTAGGGCATCCAGAAAGGGGAGGGCCTCCCCCTTCTTTTTTCCAAAGCGAGGGTTAACGTTGGGTGAACCTGCTTCACCTTGTGTATCTGGCGAAAAAATTGACTACTGAATCTGAGTTGAACATTCGACATGCAGCAAAGGAGCAGTTGTTTTAGGGCTAAGCCAGGACTTCCAAAAGGGAATTATTACTTGACAATTTCGTCACACATATTGTGTCGTTTCTGTGAGGGGAATATTATTGAGCAATTACGAAATCGATGAATTTAAGGGTTCCGTAGGCTGGGGGTGGTTATTTTGCGTTGGATGGGTCTGAGTGTCTCTTCCAACTACTTGGCAATTGCGTAATAAGGCGAATTACACACGTCTAATGTCGTTCGCAAATGAAGGTCAGGTTTGTGAATCTTTGGCCAACCATACATCCTCAGGATGCTTGTGTCGTCAGTTGGGCATAAGGGATTCGAACTCTTGTTCGCTAGGGGAACCTTAATCTCTCGGTTTCTGAAGACTTCTTTTGAGTTGGACTTCTGTGACCTCGGTTTGATCGTTATCTTTGTTCTCCCTGTTTCGTATCACTTTTATTCTTTCCCCTAAATACTGAAACGTGCATATCAGGATGTACACGCATCAGATCTACTGAGAACAATCAGTCTTATTCGTGGGAAGTGAGCATACTTTGTCATATCTCATTTTCCTCCCTTTTTAAGGCGACGTCTTAGTGTGCGACAGCTTCAACTTCACTGCGGCGATAAACGCTGCGAACCATCCGACGGCCAGATCGACCGTCAATCCGACATTTGCCATTGACACCACTGCCTCTGTTGTCACGAATTCCCTCATCTGTCAGTCTACTGTCTGGGTGTCTGCCATCGGCAGCTTCAACTGACCTGCTGGCATGCAATAGGCAGTCGCCAGCGTCATGGAAAACGAGGAGAGGCCCACGGAACTGGAGGCAGACGGTGATCCGTCAATCAGGCTGAACCCGAATGCCGTTAGTCCAGTGCGATTTATCAATTACGCCGCCAGTGAGTAACTTCCTCCGCCTCTGCTTTGAGTTATTATGTTTGACCATTATTAACTTCTCGCATCTTCTTTACTTTCCCTCTCTCCTCCTCCTCCTCCTCCTCCTCCTCCTCCTTCTCTTTCGCGAAATTTTTGGTTGTTCTGTCGCTTTTTCGCTTTTTTTACACTACTTCGGGTGATAAGATTGACGGGATTTCAGTGTCGGATGTCGGTATTGGGTGAGGCTTTCGGCTCACCAGGTTACTGTGCATGATTTTTACTGCTATCACATAATAATCCATAAAAACGCACACCTTTTGAAACGACCCATAATTTCCTCAGCCTTACTTCGCTCTTATGCGCTTTCGACTGAGGTTGACTCTTCTACCCCGTCTTATTCTGGCCGATTAATGACGTCGTCCAGTAACAGAGGTTTTACTGTATTCCAGTCGTAGGTACTGGTTAAAAAGAGCTTGACATGTGTTTCACCGCGGTGTCTGTTGCTGCATGATGTGGCTCGGAGGGGTTCATCTCCCTCGTAGGTCCTCCAGTCGTCTCTGCAAGGTTTCAGGCATATGAAGTCCGTTAAGGTCTACGCCTATGCGTCCTTGAAAAAAAAGAGCGAAATTCTCGCGTTGGGTTTTTAAGTCAGCAAATGGAACTCCGCATTCTCTTGGCTTTCGTTGAACCATGAAATTCGCAGTTTTTCATTTTCTAGTCTATTTCGAAATAGAAGAATTCCTCCTCGTGCCTGGATTTGATCGGGCTTCGGCTAATATATGATCAGGGACATCAAATTACTGCACCTTTTGTTTCTTTGTTTGCAGGTCGAGCCAGGTTGCACAGTTCTGCCCTAACCTACCAGTTCCTCCCCGTTCGGTGCACTGAGGCTGATCAGATGACGCTGGAGGCCATGAATTTTCTCTTGTCCGCAAACAACGTCTTTGGCATTTACTCGGAGTCCCCCTTTTTGCGACCCGTCGCCCTCCTACGGCCTGTACAGTTTGCCTGCCCATCCAACGTCCTCCTTCAATACCCCGATCCCGAGAACATGGTCCGTACGTTGCGAGATCTGGCAGACCAGAAGGTAACTAGTATCCCCCTGCTGTCTATTCTCTCGGGTGCCAAGCCGAATGCCGCCTCCCTGGGTTTCCACACTGGCTATCTGACCTACAGTTTCACCCTCGAGCTCGACAACAATACGATGCGTATTCTGGTGGATCAGTCACGACGACCGCATGAGTGCGTCTGCACTTCGTGCTTGTTTGTTTATCTTCTAATCAACATTGAGCACCAGTTAACTAAACCCCCCTCTCTGCTCCTTGTCACCGCCCTTTCAAGATGACATGACTTCCCTTAGAAAGTTAAACTTGCTGCCTCCTGTTTACTCCTTGTCTTTGTGCTTCAGCGACGCTGACAAGTACCGTCTCATTCTTCGGTTGGCCTGGGCTACGGCCGGACTTTACATGCCACGTGACAAGTCCAATCCCTCTCGCGTGCTGGCTTGCGAAGTGCTACCTCGCTGTCTCTCCGTCCGCGTTGCTCGTCGCAATGTCACCCTTCCCGATCCCATCTTTCATGGCGGCCAGGCGCAGAAATTTGGTCATCGTCTTCGATTTGCAATTGACATCACTGACAAGGTTGTTTTTCTGTTCCTTCGGGTCTACTGCATGTCCTGGCTTGTTCTGTCTGAGCGTTCAAAAGAGGCAGTAGAAGACGACTTAACCAGCCGTGGGGAGATGAATTTCTCAGTGTTTAGAAGTCGAACTCCAGTCCATCTTCAGAAATTTGCCAGCTCTGTTGTCTGCGCCCAGTTGGCACAGTCCGGTCAGTCGGTGGTTGGGCATCTGGAGGGGTGTCTGTGCGGTCATCTGCGCGACATGCTCCCGTTTTCAATGTCAGGCTGTTTTGCGGCGGCTGTGGGACTAATCCGTTTCGATCAGTGCGGTAAAGCAGGCACACTGTTCACTCTCCAGTGATGGAGTCTGGCAGGAATTTGTAACTTGAGACAAAATCGACCTGACTGATTGGGTCCTTTTCTTGTGAATTGGTTGCTAGGACACATATCTTAAATTATTCGTACCAGAGGAGTTTAAGGGGAAATTCCCGGACACCGTCAGTAAAGGAAAACAGCTGGAGTCTGTCACGTGTGTCGCGCGAGTCCACACAGTTTTATTATCGACTGATCTTTCTCGTACTTGCAGATTGTAACTCGATCAAACTTCTTAGTCCGCGGTCGGGGTGTTGAAATTGACCTAACCTGGCTGCACGCCCCTCTGGAGGACCACGCTCAGCCGCTGCTTGAAATGGTCGGCTCCGGGTCCTGTACTCCTATTCTCAATCACTTGCTCAACCTTCCCCTTGTTCAAGTCACTCTGGATCGTGTGCAGCCAATACCGGAGTTTGTGCGCATGTTTTCGTCGGCTGTTGCTGGCGAACCAGTCACAGACCCTCCTCCGGGTTGCAAGCCTCCTCGCTTGCCGTCGGAGACCCCAGAAGCTCTTGCGGGGGTGTACGACTTTTGTATGTCCTCTGATCGCGTGATCGCGGCTTCTGAAACTTTAGTGAGTCCTTCTCTTCCACACTGATTTATGTTTTGTAAATTTGATGTCTAATATCAAAACATCGTGCGAAGTGTCCGTAAGTTTAGGCGACTATTTGAGTCCCAGTTGTGCAGTAGGTTGGATAACTCTTGAAATGTCACGAGTTACCACAAGAAAATCAGTATAACGCAAAATTCGTCCAAGCTGCCTTACAGCAGAGGAAAACGACTGTTATCAAGAGGAGGACATAGTTGGGTCTACAAATTACTACTTACAAACATAGATATAATGAATTTCTCCTGCGAACTGGAACTTCAGAAAATTGTTATTGCATATTGTGTAAATAAGGCTAACTGTGAAGGGTGCATTAGGACGGCGACACATGAAAGGGGAGAAATAATGAAAGACAATAGCAAGTACAAAGGCTGAGTGCTTTGTTGATTGTCCACTTGCATCTAACGCAACAGGGATCCCCTCAGACATGAAGATTGTATGTTGTCTGTAGCGGGTTGTTCAGTGTGATTATCTGACACAAAATCAAACGTTTTTTGCACGGAAGATTTCATTTTTATGCCTTGTGCTAACTTCTCTTATTGAGTCTGAAAATATTTTTGAAAGGATTAAGTTCCAGGGCGTCTGCGGAGAGGGTGGCTGTTGTCAAAAAAAGTTAAATTAGAATTATAGGCTTTATCAAATTCATACCTCTTTAGAGCGATGGTCAGGGGAATTATCATGTAATATGATGGCACCCATTTGGCGTCGGTGGATGTCGTTGTAACTGAAGACATCCTTGCCAGTGTTGATGGGCACCGTGCTATTGATGGTGTCCGTAGTCGAACGCCGGCCTGGCTGTTCTCCGAGTTTGATAGCCACCCAAACCATTGACCGTCGACAGTTCTTGAAGATTGCCGTCCATACGCTATGCTCTTTCGGAAAGTTCTCTCTACATATTACCGTCTGGGTCTACTTCGTAGGCTTGTCTAAAAATAAGGCCTTATCGCGGAAGTAAAGGCTGCGGCAGCTGGTTAGGCTCGAAAGAGAGCACGTAATGCACAACGGAACGTAAGAACGATCGGTGAGGGCCTCCTACCATTGTATATTCCCAATCGAATCGGACAAGGCAAGGGGCTCGTGGTCTAGTGGTTAGAGGCGTGGACTTCTAAGTAACAGGTCGCGAGTTCGAGCCTCAGGTGGTCCACACCTTGGGGGTGGGTATGGCTGGCTGACGACGGCTAATAAGCCAGAAATGGCCATTCGAGTTTCCCTTGTCTTTGTCGGTAATGCCATTCTGCCTATATCATGCGCCGCTGTGCGGCTGCTGGTCGGGCTCGAGAGACAGCCTTTAAGGCACAACGGAACGAGTGATTTCCTTAAGAACGATTGGTGAGCGCCCCTTTCCGAATAAAAAGCGTTATTCGATAAGCTTTCCGTTTTAAAAACGGCATCCTTTTCTTGATTAGGTTCATAGAGAACGTCGTCGGATACTCCCTGTGAATGGCCTTACTGGGCATGTAGTGATAGGTTGTTAGTGTGCGACTAATAAAGTCGTTGTCTTGCCTACTTGTGAACCGTTTTTGTCCACAATGCTTATTTCTGGGCACGGCTCTATCACTAATAATTCGCCACAGGGTGACAGCGCTCGATGTACAATTTTTATACCTAGTAATTCTGGGTGTGATAAAGCAAACTACCTTCAAACCAATCTGTCACGGAATTTTATGGCACGAAAGGTCACACATTTACAAAACGGATTTTTATGGGCTGAAGTTACTTCTTTTTTCTTGCAAACAAAGCGATTTCTCATACCCGCCTCACCTGATTTTCATGGAGGCAGAATCTAATTTTATGCCTCCTGAGGGGATTTATTTCATACTTCTCCTGTTTTCGTTAATCATTTTTCACGGCTAAACATGAGGTTTTGATCTGTGACTTTCAGTAGGGTACGAAATTATCTGAATATCAGGAAAGTCCAGAATTCGTCATAACGGCATTTCATCAGTTGAGCAGTTTGATGCGATCCTGATGACCGAGTGAGGTTTACGCGCCAAAGCAACTTCGCTGGCACCTGATGCTAATCTGCCATTTTTACTTAATGACGCCTAGAATATTAACTCCATTCCTTATCACAGCGTAGAGTTGCCGCGAGTTTCTTAGCGTTTTTTGGCACCCGGAATTCCCTCTCAGGCCTGGCCTATAGTTGCCAAAATTTCTACAAACACAAAACCCCAAGAGTTAGTTGACTTGCAGCGTTTTCCACTTTTGTCGTAGGTAATTAGCCTTTTGCAATCTTTTCCTAGGCAATGATAAAGTCCAAACTGACCTCCGAGGAGGATTTGCAGTCTGATGGATGGATTCCTGTTTCCTTGCTCTGCCCCCTCGCTCTCACACGCATCGAAGTGAGTTCAGGCACTGTCAGCAATACTGTTACTCCGATTTGTTTTTGTGGTGTCTTACGCGCAGTTTCTTGCCAATGACAGTGCATTGCCCCGGTAATACTGAAAATTCTTTACTGATTTTGCGTTACCCCTTGAGCGTATAAATTTTGTCTTCGCTTTACTTTGCTCATGCACAGTACACGTCAGTTTAACTCAACAAACCGTGCGCACTAAAAGACGCGTGTTTCTGCCCTCCCAGCTGACTTCCCGTGTCCAAATGACGAAACAGAGTCAAGATGACCTGAAATGACATTGACGCGGTGACTTCCCTTATATACGTACCACAAACGGTCGCGCCTAAGTGTGTGCCGCGACATTGATTCGGACCCCACGGAGTGGGAATGCCGTAGAGGTGGATTAAGAATGCTGAGGAGTGTGTTGGTCATAAAATGAAGGAGGCAGATAGCCATCGTGGCTCCCTAAATCCAATATGGAGCATTAGTCAGATTCAGGAACGTCATCTCTCTTGTTTTTATCCATAATGTGACATGTGGGTTGAAGAGGAGGTGAGAGAACAAGGTAATTGTATACGTTGTTAAAACGACTTTGAGTGCAATGACTGTGGGGTTGTTTCCGCGGAGAAAACTTTATTTTTTCGTCGGTAGCGCTGGAAGTGTTGTTACGGCCCTACGTGTGAGCTCTGTCTCCTCTGCAGATCCCTGTGCGCTCAGTGAACTGTGATCATCTGCAGTGCTTTGACCTGTCCTCCTATCTGACGATTAACAAGAAGCGTCCTCGGTGGTCCTGTCCTGTCTGCAGTTCGCCTGCCCCCTTCCGCGATCTGCGACGCGATGAGTAAGTACTTTTGCCACCTTCACTTTGGCTACGTTGTTTCTTAGATTGCCTACCTTATGTGCTAATTTGTCATAAGCATCTAGAAACGGAAAATTGTGCCCGTGTCAATTGTCCATCAAGGGTTTTATTTAGACGCCTGACCAATTTGACCACGGCGCAGACCCTTTTGAGCGTCATCGGGAATTTTAAGACGCACGTCCACCAGGCCCATAGATAAAGTGAAATCGCTCCTATTTCGTGTTGCATTTAAAATGCCAATACTCCATGGACTATATTCACCTCTAGTTTTTCTGTTCATCTCGAATAGAGTGTACTAACTCATGAGTTCTGTCTTTTCTCGTCCCGGCGAGGGTGCTTTCTAGTTATGGTCAGAGGTCCATACTGTCATGTGGTCTTAAACTGACACGCGCAGCGAAGCGAAACTAGGGTCAGAGGAATGCCTGCGTTCTAGCAATTACCCAACAGCCGAGGAAAGGGGATTTTTTTCACTCTTCAGTGCATTTAAAAATTTGTTAACCTGTCAACTGCCAGTGTATTCGGCCGATGTACTTTCATCCACGAATGCATTCATTTCGTAGCGCTCAAAGTGGGTGCATCATTGGTTCTGTTTTACTAAACTCTTAAGCTTCTTCGTCCAGCTGATGGCCGATCCAAGTCTCAAGGATGTCAAAATGGTCCACGTAGATGCCAATGGACACTGGCGAGAGGCCTCCAAACCCACCGAGGGTGATTTCTCTGCTACTATTTCCGCCAACGAGTCGATTCCCGGAATTCCTACGGACAACCAGACAACTGCTGCTGTTCCCTCACTGCTGAATGGGACCTCTACGACGTCGCCTCTCATATTGGAGTCGGATTTATCATCTGAGCCGGTGGCTCCGATAGAGCCTGATGCCACTCAATCCAGTGTCTATGTCGTTCTCATCGACGACGATGATGACGATGACCAGGAGGGTGACGAGACGCAACCGGAGCAGCCCACTTTTGCTCATTCCACGTCTTTGAATGATTGCTGCCCCCAGTCTCCTCCCGCTGCTGTCACTGATGAACAGCCGGCCGAGCTTCTTTCTGAGGCGCCCGATTCTGCACCGACGAAGTAGGCGGCTTTTTCCCATTCTCCCTTGGTAATTTGTTTAGTGGCCAATCAGTTTTGCCCTTCCATTTGCATGTCTTTTCTTAACACAAAGCTAAATGCGCTGTCGACAAAGGTCTATTCATTGCAGGCAATACCAGCTGGTAAATACAGCAGTGACCACGAGATTCAGCAGTTAGCACTCTGCCGGTTTGGTTTTTTGTTGGTGTGAGCCTGCATATGCAGTTTTATTCCTCCTTCCATTTCCAACCACAACGTTCTAGCCTGTTTGTCGATCTGGCCGCAAGCTCAGACGAGGAACCCGATGTGACGATGGCATCTACCCCACCACTTTCCAGTCCCGAACCCTCGGCAGCGCCGACGCCATCATCGATTTCGCCCACCAAAACGGAGAGCTGCAGTCTCCCGGCTGTGATTCCGTCCCCTTCCCTCGCGCGCCGCTCCGTGGACATCGCCCCACTTCTTCCTGTCGCCTCGCAACCCCTTAACATCGCCAGCCATGATACGCAATCTCCTCCTCCCCCTGCTGCTGATGCTGCTGTTGTCAACGCCGCTGGGACTTCCTCCACCCCGAATATGTAAGCCTTTTGGACATATCCAACGCAGGGACCCCTGTAAAACGGGTTTGGTGGTAATGGGGGGTTTTTCGAGCGGATCACATGGAAGCGAGGGCTAAAAAGTGAAAGGAAAAGCACAAGAAGGCGCAAGCAAACCGTAAGGCTGTTTAAACGCTCCCCTCCCCAATTAAGTCAAAAAGCTGAAGCGTGTACACCCAAAGCTAAATGCGCTGTCGACAAAGGTCCATTCGGTGCAGGCAATACCAGCTGGTAAATTCAGCACTTTTGGTTTTTGTTGGTGTGAGTCTGCATATGCAGTTTTATTTTTCCTTCCATTTCCAACTACGCCGTTCTAGCCTGTTTGTCGATCTGGCTGCAAGCTTAGACGAGGAACCCTATGTGACGATGGCATCTACTCCACCACTTTCCAGTCCCAAACCCTCGGCAGCACCGACGCCATCATCGATTTCGCCCACCACAACGGAGAGCTGCAGTCTCCCGGCGGTAATTCCGTCCCCTTCCCTCGCCCCAATTCCGTCCGTCCTCTCGCGGCCCCTAAACCTCGTTGGAAATTCTACGCAACCTATTCCTCCTTCCTCCGCTGCTGATGCTGATGCTGCTGTTGTCAGCGCCGCTGGGACTTCCTCCACCTCGCGGGAATCCCCACCTCCGAACAAGCTAAACAAGGCCACTGGGTAAGGATTGAATATGTAAGCCTATCCGACATATCCAACACAGGGAACCCTGTAAAACGGGTGTGGTGGTAATGGGGACTTTTCGGGTGGAGCACGTGGGAGCGAGGTCTAAGAGGTTTGCGGAGAGAGGCAATTGGACGGTCAAGGCCACTGAGGCTGAACGGACTGCAACGCGGACAAATAGAAACGTGATGGGGACACTAATGCCGTAAAAAGTGGGTGTCGGTTTGTAAAATAAATTGTAACGAACCTAACTGGAACAAGGGCTAGGAATGCTACGAGTGGAGAAAAAACAGGTTACTAAGGTGAGTTTGGGGATTATGACGACGAAAATAGGAGGGCCGGAGTTCGGGCGGGATTGGGAACACGGGGATGTCCTATGGCAGGGGCAGGTTTGTTCGGAGGCAAGTCTTGTTATGTCCGGGCAGCGGAAGCGATGCGGGATCGGCGATGACGTCCAGAAGGCGTCCTGGGGTTTATGAGTGCTCAGTGTCAGTCGTCCTTGGTTTTTCTGGGGCCTCCGGACGACTTGGATAGGCTTACATAGAATAGACCCATGGATATATATCACTCAAACCGCTAGGATACACGAAAGTAGGTTGTAACTAATGGGATCTTCGGAACCGTTATTAGGGACATCCTGGCTTCTGACCAGTCTCTTCGAAATCGTTGCTAAGCAAAACGAAATAACCAACGTTTAAACAAAAGCTTTCGACTTAATTTGGCAAAATCCAATGGGATGGACGCTTCAAAGGGTCATAAGCCAATAGGATCACCCTGAAATCGAGCTGTCTAGCATACGTTGCCTTCGACAAATTCTCCTCAGGCCAGTACAATTATACGGGAGCGGGGTCCAGTCAATCATGTCAGTGATTGAAAAATCGAAAAATGTTAGTTTTAAAACCCAAGCGGGGCGAGAGCGGAAGGGCGCAGAAAGTTCCATTTGGTTAGTCGACCTTTGACCACGGTATGCGCGGAGCCTGAACGAGGTTCTTCTAGGCGCATAGGGTCGGTTTTCATAACCTGATTGCGGCCGCTTATGCTGCTGCCAACAGGTACTGGCCCAATAGCTTAGGATAGTCCAGGGAACTTTATAAATCACACGAAAAGCTTTGCCGGGGTCCACACGATGCCCTAAATCAACTGCATACGCAAGAATGGCTCTGCATATGCTCCTAGTTTCGCCTTTTGTCAGCCATGCGCGGAGGTGTTCTCGTATTCTTTTGGATAGACGTCGACTCGTACGACCAATATAACCTGCTCCGCAGGATCACGTGACGAGTAAGGTGGACATTGAGGTGGTCGGAGGTGCAGCCTATCCTTTCCACGTAAAACAGGGATAGTAGAGGGTCAGATCGCAGTTCGTAGCCTGTGGTGTGTAAGCCACCCGGTAGATCCCTCTCCGACGGGACCCGTGGGAAAAAGGGGTTTTAAGGGAGGGGTAACTGGATAGCGGCTTAGGAGGAGAAAATTAAGTAAAGAAAGAGGTAAAGTTTCATGAGTAAATAGTGAGGTTTTAGTGAGGTGAAATAACGGTAAAAAATCAAGGAGAGGCCCGTCACACGTAGCGCAGCCTGCGGAAGGTCACCGCGGTGGAAAGAGATAGGACTAGCTGACAACGCTGCATTAGTAACCAACAGGAGGTACGTACCGAACGGCAAGATCATTCCGCGAAACGCGCCCCAAAAATGGACGCGTGACAATGAGTGCTCGTAAAATGTCAGGGGAAAACAAATCAGCGGACAGTGAAGCCCAAGAACGGTAAGTATGAATGTGGATTACGTAAGAGGTCCATGAGCAAGCCGCAGTGTGATGATCCTTTTGCACACTGCTGTCAGTATTTTGCTGATTATTTGTCATGCGATTGTCCGCTTGTAGAACGCAGACCGCAAGGAAGGCGCGAAAGGCCGCTCCGCAAGTTACTAAACCGTCAGAGCTTGCGCAGATCCTTGCTCTGATCCAGTCGCCAAACCTAGTGCAATATCTGCAAGCGAAAGGAGTGCTCGCTTCTGAAGTCAGGTGTCGATGCCGAAAACCCATGCAAATGCAAATATTGCGTCAGCACACGGACGGGTTTGCCTTCAGGTATGCGAAAATAATACTTTAATGCAGTCCGAAGGTGTAACAAATGCGGAACCAAAAGGGCACTCAGAGCGGGCTCAGTGTTTGAAGGAAGTCATCTGACTTTACCAACAGCAGTAAGAACGGCCCTAGCCTTTTTGGAGGGCACAGGTGTGATAAGATGTGCAGAGCTGGTGGGCATAAGTGTAACTGCAGCTGTCGAGTGGTATGACATCTGGCGGGATGTCTGCACCAAAGCCCTCCTCAAGGAGGTAAACCAATTAGGAGGACCTGAAGTGGAAGTTCAAGTTGATGAGATTACGATAACAAGACAAATATACAACGTTGGACAACTGAAGAAGCAACACTGGATTTTGGGTAGGAATTTCCTATTAGATGGCCATTTCTAGGTATGTACGATACAAAGAGAAGGAAGGCGATCTTCGAGCAAGTGAACGATCGAAGCTGGTCCTCCCTAAAAGCAGTAATTAAGAAATGGGTAGCTCCTGGAAGTGTAATAGTAACAGACCACTGGAAGGACTATGGCCGTCTAACTGGAGAAGGCTATCGCCACCTAACGGTCAATCGTTCTACCAATTTTGTCGATGCGGCCACGAAGAAGAATGCGAACGCTATAGAAGCCTATTGGAATAGGCTGAAAAAGAAATTGCGCGAACATGGACCCGTCAAGGGCACGAAGATATGGGCACACGTCGACGAAGCGCAATACCGTCTGTGGTACGGAGTGAAGGCAAGTAACTTGTCGGAATCCTGGGAAAGATTCCTGTCCCATGTTGCACAAGCATATCCGGTCGCTGAAAGCGGCATCGTAGCCGAAAAGTAAAGCAGTTGACGCTAAGGTAAGCAAGCAAATAGAAACGAAATCCTACGTATAGGTCAATATGTGCACACGAATGATTCAAACACGTTGATGGCAACCTGACAGCAAGGCCAATGAAATGTTGCCAGTGAAAACCAATGCAGACGAAGGAATTTGTACTGTGTTAAAACTTTTTACCACAATAGAGAAATCTTCCCTGAGCCTTTTAATGTTCTCCCCTGTGCTCCGTAATCCCAGCCGACATGCGCCAATCAGGAATAAATAGGCAGAAGTCGATCGGAATGAGGAGAAGTCGATCTGGTCCTTCACTGCAGTCGTTGTCCAATCGTAATGCTAGCCTAAAGTACGCAGGCCTTCAGGCCGTGTAATGGTGAAGGTCAAGCTAAAAGCTAAGCATACTGGTCGCTGCGTACCCACCAACCCGCGGAACGCCGGGGCAGGCGAAGGCGGCCGAGTAGCTGCCGTACGAAGTCTTTAACGCAAAACACGACTACAAACGGAAAGCGACTTAAGAAGACCGCACAGGAAGCCAGCGGGTTAGTTTGACGCGAATGTTCGGGGAGCCATCGGAAGCCACTGTGGGGTGTGCGAGACGGTAGACGGAGAAAGAAGCGAAGGGGACCAACGCAAAGTGTGAACCGCAGTCGAAGGAGAAGGTGCACTGACCAAGCAGGCCTGCACCGATTCAGGGCGCCCAACGCCTACGCGCCAAGCCAGTCTACAGTGAAATGACGCAAAATACGGTTTGGGAGGTCGCAGTGGAAGCCGAAAACCGCGTCCGCGATGTAGGCCAATTCTTTTTGATGGAACGCCAATAGCCGTCAGCTAGTTAAAAGGAAAGTAGTCAAAGCGGGAGAACCCAACCGTGGTACTGTGGCAACCCGGCTGAACGTCGCTGCTGACCGAAAACTTAGAAGCCCGGCACTACCCGTACGTGTAATGAAGGAGAACGCGTAGGCTAGGAGTGAGCCAACCAACTGATGGAAAATTACTAGCCCCTGGCATGCTGCTTGAGGCTGTATGGATGGAAATGGAGACAATAGCAAGGACATGAAGGACTTGGCGGCATAATCGCCCGTCCGTCGTCCACGTGTAGGCTGTAAGTATATGCAGGGGGTATGGCAATGGTAAGACAACAACAAACAACGTTTCCGAAGGCGAGGTCGAATGCGTTACACCCCAGCCTGACCGACGCGGGGGAACTGTGTAACTTAATTTAAACACACCTACTGATAACAGGCAAGTGCGTCAACAATGTTGACTCATAATGTCAGGCTGCGAACTGCGATCTTTCCTATAAGAGAATGATATTCCAATCCTTGCTGCTGGGAAAATTCTCGAGAGAGTTTGATCAAGGCGTTTCTATGAAAAGGAACTTTGAGGAACACATTCTTCTCCTAAGCAGCCGCTGTAGTGGGTCTTCCCGGTCGTTGGGCAACGTTTTTTGAAATAAACCTGTTAGGATACCTTTTTTCGTGAAGGAAGTCCTGGATTTTTGCAAGCTCCTCCGCGATGCTATCTGTTGAGCAAGTTTTTCTAGCTCTTTGTGCCAAACACCGGACTAGATTCTGTTTCTGCTGGAGGGATACGAAACTGGCTAAGTTCGTGTACCGTCCAGACCAGGTTTTCTACCGGTAAACGGTCCCTCGGACGCTGCTGTCAGGTGTCCTGTTTATAAGAACGTTTAAGTAGGGTAGCGAACACGCCGATTCCGTTTCCAACGTGAATTTGATCGACGGATGTGCCTGGTTTGCAGCATTTAAAGGAGTATCTACGTCGGTTTCTGTGGTGGCAATCGCAAAGATATCATCAACTTTGTGACCGTAGTGTTTAAACTTATCGATCTGATCGCCTGGTTGCAATCTCTCCAGCTTGCCCATGAAGACATAGGCTACGAGATGTCCAAGAGGCGAGCCCATAGGATCGCCGTCTATGTCTATAGAGTCGATTGTCAAGAGGAACTGTACATTTAATGTCCACACGGGAAGTAACACAGGTGACCGTGATCTCGTACACCAGGCAGTCGACACATCTGTCGACCATATGGTTTACCTAAGATCCTCAAGGAAGGCCTGCCAGTTCGTCCGATTTTATACATGCGAAGCTCTCCATATCATGCTATAGCAAAGTGGGTAACGGAGGAACTCAAGCCCGTACAGCATTAGCTGACACCACGCAGCTATCGAGATACCTTTGAATTCATTGACGACAACCTTAACGGCATGGTGATGTTCTCGATAGACGTTGCATCGCTTTTTGCGAATCTCTCGGTTACCGAGATAGTTGAATACATCTGTGATTTTCTATCAATCAATCAGTGAAAATAGGAATTCCGACGAACACACTCGAAGGATTATTACTAAGATGCACACTGCATATACAGTTCCATTTTGACAACCAACGGTGTTGCTATGGGCTCACCTCTTGTACTCTGTTCCCATATAATTTAACTGGCCTGAGGAGAATTTATCGAAAGCAACGTATGCTCGCCAACTCGTCGTCTGAGGACTGCTATGGGGATTTTCGCTACTGCAGTGGGATTAGAGAATCTAAAATGTCCTACTTGCGTGTTTCATCCAGTGGGAACGTTGGCCATTGTAACAGCAATCCGCTAACAATTGTAGCCTAACTAGCAAAAATTGGGAAAACTTTGGCTCCATCTTTACAAAATAAGGGAACGAAATCAAATGTGGAAACAGCTATTATAGGAAAATAAAACGACAATAATATCAAATTCGATGGCAGAATGTGATGCGAAAGAAAGTATAACGTGTATGGTGAGGTAGGGAGTAGACGGAAAGGTCATAGGGCCGTGATTATATTATAAGCAAAGGAACTATGAATTGTTGGTAAATAAGTAAAAATATGAGAATGTGTACTGGTAGTGAGTTGAGATGACTACTTCTCGAGCAATTTTGTAGAACCGAAGCCATTGCTAAACGCAGACGAGTTGGCCGAAACGTATTTATTATCCTTTTTAAGCTTAAATCAACCTTGCTCTTCCTCCGGCCGGTCCAAAGCGTCCGGTTCGTCCGTGTCGGCTTCGGTCAAGCTGGCCAGAGCACTCGCTGACCGTCTCCCTTTAATGAAAGATAGGAATGATGTTCAAGCACTAGGAAAACTCATGTTGCTTTACAGTGCTGGTAACCTAAATAGCCAAGTCCCACCCCCAAGAAAGCTAACTGGACGGTCACTGTCGCTGAAACTGAACCGACTGCAACGAGAACCAATGGGAATGCGATGGGACACAGTAATGCCGTGAACAGTGGGTGTCGAGAAATGAGGTAAATAACGAAGCAAATCGGAACGCGGAAACGGTTATGGCAAGGTAAAAATGACAATATTGTCAGATTTAATGAAAGTAATTGATATCGAAGGAAGTATTACGTGGATGCTGGATGAAAAGCAGACAGGAAGGTCATGGGTTTGTGTGTATATTTTAAGAAATGGAATTGCTAAATGTTTTATAATTAGCTAAAAATATAAAACATCTAGAGAAAACAAAATGGACTGATTATTTTTCGTGTAATTTACTAGAACCGAAGCCATTGTTAAGCGCAGAAGGAGAGACTCGCATGAGGAAAGAAGGACAAAAGATGATGTGCTCAGGAGACGTATCATGGACTCGACGGACATCATTCCCTGTCTACGCGAACGAAAACTGCTGCCGGGGAATGTTATACCGATGCAAGTGGGTGATGAGACTGCAGAAGTTTAACCAGCACACTGACGGCTACACCTTCAAGTGCAACCGGTGTGAAAGAAGAGCACCAAGAAGCAGGACGATATCTGATGGAAGTAAATCAACGTTAAATAAGGTTGTTAGGATACGCTATAATTTCATAGTAGGAGTACGAGTGGAGAGGTGTGCAGTTTCGGTAAGCGTTCATCAGTCGACCGCAATATTATGGTATGGTATGTGTAGGGACGGGTGCTCAAAGGCGTTGAAGGGCAGATCGATGAAACTGTAATTACTAAAAGGAAATATAATAGGGGAAGAGTGAGGCGCCAATGCTGCGTGCTGGGAATATAGGACATTCAGAGGAAGAAGAAGAAGATTGCGGCGTTTGAGCAAGTGAGTAATCGTACATGGTCAGCGCTGGAAGCCGTAATAACAAAGTGGGTAGCAGAAGGCTATACCCGACTACCCTCAATAGGATACGAACACTGCACCGTTAATCATAGCCGAAGTGTTTTAGATCCCGCGACGAGTAGACATACGAATGCAATAGAGGGTTACTACAGCCGGTTGAAGAGGAAGCTGCAGGAAGGTGTCCCAGTGTCTGGTAGAGCGGTATGGGGGCATGTAGATGAAGTGCAGTACCGCCTCTGCTACAAAGTGAGGGCAGATAATCTGTCCGATTCGTGGGGGACCTTCATGCGACATATAGTCGACGCCTGCCCGGTAAATGTGGAAGACATGGAGGAGGGAAGGGAGACGACGGCTGAGAGCAGTACGACAGGCAGGCAAACCGACGGAAGCAAATGCAAATGGGGATGGTTACGCAAACGAAAGCGGTGAACGGTGATCATGTCGACAACCAAATGGAAACTTGTGATAAGCATAACAATATAAGAAGTCTCAATATCTGTTGTGCGCTGTGTGTCTACGTCGACGAAGGTGGAAGTGCTGTCAAACGGTGGGCAAACGGGAGACGGACGGAATGAAGGTAAAGCTCACAGGGAAAGGATTCGTCGAGGTAGTATAAGCCGAAGAATGGGTGATGACAGTGTTTAGGGGGAAAGTGGCCGAAGGTAAAACGAAAAGGGCATCCCAATGTGTGGTGACTCGGCGGCCAGAATGATGGAGGCCTAGAATCCCAGTAAAAGACCTGGCAGACAGGGCACGCGGGTCAAACAGTACCCCAAATCTAACTTCATTTCTAACCCTAGCCGTGAGCCTAACCCTCACCTTAGAGGTTAACCTAACCCTAGACATAGCTGGGAACCTAACGCTTATTTTAGACTTAACAGTGAACCGCAATCCTAACCCTGACCGTAAAGCTAACCGTAATCGTAATTCTAACACTAATCCTAACCATGACACTAAACGTAAACTTCACCCTAACAGTCAACC